GGAGGGCAGTTTATAGGTTTCTCTTGAGGATTAGGATTGACAGTCAGAGACTGATTATCTTGTGAGAGCTGCTTTTGCAGAAGTGTATTTGTGCTTTTATCAGTGGTCTGTGCAAGTTCAGTCTGATCTTAGTAGTTATTTGATCTCAACTATGGGATGTGAGAGTGGCTTATGTGCTGGATGTGACTTCCCAGGTAAGCCCATGTATGGTCCTTACAGGAAGGTAGAAGGGAAGGTTTTGACAAGTTGTACTTGGTGGGGTTTGTTGTTGTTGTGGGTTTGGGGTTTTTTTCCACACAAAAAGCTTCCTTCTAATGATAAGCTTACCAAGGTTGGGAGACAGTTTAAAGACTGGCAGAGATGCCTCTGAGGACAATTTTCCATTAGGTATGATGTTCTAACATAGATAATAACTTTTTTGAGGGTTTTTTTGGTGTAGGTTTTAGGGTGGTCTTTGAGAGCGATGTATACAATGAGTAGAGGATCTCTTTTTTTATAAAAGCTCTTTCTTATGCAGGATCCACATGGCTCTTTGAAAAACATGATGTATTTCTGTGGTGTGCTGTCATGAGCAGTGTCCTCAGAGTGCATGTAATTGGTATTTGACAGGCTAGTGTTCATTCTGAGTGTAAAAATTGATAGAAGAGTTGAGATTTCCATTCTGGAGGATAAATGTCATTTGTGTATTCGTTTTCAAATAACCATTCTGCATAGACTGAGTGGCATGGTTATTTGAAAACTCTTTTTAACGTCACCAACAAGGATGTTGAGAATGGTGGGGTCATATTTGTCCCCTCTACCTGGGGGAAGTGCTGATGATAGAAAGGGAATTTCATGTGTTGAGGATAACAGGGGTAAGCCTATAGAGCTTTATAGAAGTGTTAAATGTGAGGAATTTGGTTTTGCTGTGTTCTTCACATTGGTATGCAAATGTGAAAATGTCCTATCTCCTCATTGGATGATCCAGGCCTTTTTAGGAGGGTTTTTCCTTCTGTTTCATGATGTCTTGTCCTTGGAGCTCTCACTTAGCTCCAGGTTCTCACCTCTGATGTGTTTTATTTGAAATGCTGTTAGCAGGTCTCAAAGAGTTTCTTCTTGGTCAGAGATTTCCTGCACTGTAATCAGTTCACTACCTTTTTTTTCATTGAAAATAAGGTGTTAGTGAGGACAATATTAACTTTTTTACAGGAAGTATTCAAACAGTCTTGCTTGTCCTTATATGTATTTTAGGGCGGTGGGGTTGTTCAGGCTGGAACTCTAAGTCTCTCAGTGAAAGAATAAAAATACCCTACCAGTAGATCAGTAGCAAAGCTCTCATTTGTTCACATGCTAAAAAGGAACTGTTTTGGCCATTCAGCATCCATTCAGTGATTATAGAAATCTTAAAATAGCCATGAAGTAACTAACAATAGTATCTTTACATCAACATGCAAAATAGCACCATGTAAAATGTTCCATTCCTGACAGGAATGTGTAGTAGTTGAAGGGAAAATTTGAACAATCTGCCTCAAAGCTCTCTTAGCCTTGCAGCAATTATAAAGGTATATCTCTGGTCTGCAAAGCAGGATACTGAAACTGGTACTGTAGGTCCTTATAGTATTTGGCTGATCTGTTTAGTTCGTATAGTTTTGTTATAAACCAGTACGGTCTGAAGGTTTGCTTGTGTTAGTGTACATTTGTCTTACTGGGTTGGGGCACCTGAAGAGTTTCAGTAAGTCCGTGTTTGGATGTGGTTGTCACCCCACAGAACTATTTTGGAGTCCTCACTAGCAGTACAAATTATGTGGATAAAAGCCAAACATTTCAGATGAAGTACTAACCCCGTCAGAAAAAACAAAGAATAATTTGAACAGATCTTTCTGTGAAAACAGCCATCTCTGATATGTACATGGAGAGCGTGTTATATCCTACTGATGTGTCTGTTTTGTAAAGATACCTTGTGGTAATCTGCTAGCGTTCATGAGCAATTCATCACACCAGCTAGTTGGTAGTTAGTTGGGATTTATATACTTGTTATCATTTTGCATGATCATTATTATACTGGTTTTGCCCCTTGTGGACAGCATGTCCCTTAAAATTATTAGTATAATCATAAGAGCTGTTGGTTGTCTTTCTGAGACTGTGGTAATAGGGGCATGTGCACCAACACTTCTATTATCTTCTGCTGTGAAGAATGATCCTGCATAAGCTTTCAAAGTGAATGCAAAGTTTCCTTCCTCCTGGATATTAGTTACAGTTTCACTCATGCATACAATTCCTTTAGCTGAGTAATACTGTACTTCCAATTCATGACTGCTGATTTATCATCTTAATTGTACTGCCTTCTCTGATATTCCCGTAAGCAAGCTGTGGAAGATTAATTTAGATAATACCATGATGAGGATGTGCAAAACCAGGTAGGAAGTTGACTCCTGGAGCAGTCCTTATTAACTGGGTTCATGGGATACAGAATTCATTTGTTAAGTTTTCAGATGAGATGTCAGTGGGAGCACCTAGAAGCATGAAGCAGACTGCTGGAATTTGGAAGGACCAAGGCAAATCAGAAGTGGTATGGCAAACAGGATGCAACAGAAAAAAAGGAGGAATGTGGTCTTACATTTAGAGATAAATCATCTACACAGCCACACAATGAGGAGCAACTGGCATGGTCACAGTTGCAGGGACTTCCCATGTTTTTCCTGGAAGGTGCTCCTCAGTAGAAATGAAAGCAGCTCTTGTCCTTTAGCTTATCCTGGACTTGTAGCAGTAAGGGCTCCAGCTTATTAGACTTTGATGTATGGGCACTTGGAGGCAATTGAAGCTGGTTTTGGAGTCATTATCTTTTAGTGGTACATTGTGTGCAGCTGCTTGCCAGCCAAGTGACCCCTCTTGGCTGCGTGGATGCACATGTCACTGCACATGTCAGTGCAAGCATTCTCTGTATCACAGTTGCTTGCATTACCAGAAGGGACACCAAAGGTGACTGTTCTATTTCCTCCAAGGCTTGGGCTTTTTTTATAATACTTGAAATGTGCTGTAGAAACAGCCAAGCAAACTTTAAACTGCCCATCTCGTGACTCACAGCTGCTGACATACGCTGCTCACTGTAGGCAGCCAAGCTTGTGCCTGAAAGAGGACAAACAGACTTGGCTCTGCTGGGATCTCTCTCCCTTGGCTGCCTCAGTATCTTACCTAACTTGGCTCAAGCACAGAGGTGCTGCATGAAATCTTTTATTAACTGGCCAAATCAAGAATTTCATAGCCTTTATTTAAAAATAATAATGATACTTACATATTAATTCCAACAACAGGTTGAAAAGGAATCCTGAGTGGCTGAAAGTAAGTTCTGTCAGTTTAAATATCCACATTACACATAACTGCTCTTAAACCCCTCTGACAACTCAAACGTTTGTTTAATCCAGGTTAATTACAGAAACTAAATTTTAACGTCTGGTTTAACATTGAAAATAGTATCAATAGTAATCCCAGGTAAATCTTCTTTATGGTCCTTTAAAAGTTAAAGACCATTGCTGTTATGCATGTTTTCAGCACTGTACTAGTAAGTATTTGGTGTCTGCCAACTCACTGCAGATATTAACTTTATAGCTATATAGTTATAGCTGTATGTAGCTATGAGCTATTCCTCTGTTGGTAGTGACAATACTTGCTCTGTCACCATCACTGCAAATAGCAGTACCTGTGCCTTGCTAGTACGGGTGCTAGCAACACACACCTCCGCAGTAACCACCCGTGGCTGTCGCTGCAGGGTGGGTGAGCAGAACTGCCCCTGCTGGGGCTCTTCCATCTGTAACGGTGATACCTGCTGTCAGTCTTCCTGCGTGATCCAGATTTCATTCCAAAGCTTATGTATACCAGGCACTGCACTGGTCAGGAAATGCACTGAAGCAGGAGTAGAAGGCTTAAAGTGGAGCAGGATTGATTTAAGGAAGACATTAAGAGAACTGTTTTAATGCTAAAGGAGTGTAAGTACTGAGGTATCCATGCCCTGGCAGGGATCACCAGAATTTTCTTCTTTCCATATGCCCAGAACTGAGCTGTAAGACCCTCTCTTTCATCTGCATTGTAAGTGAGAGTGTGCCCAAGGGCAGCCACTTCAGCTTGTTCAGGAAACAATCCCAGCTGACAAGTTATTCCCCTAGCGCCTCTAGTGTAACTCAACTTCATATCAGGTTTGGTCATTTTGCAGTTCAAAGGATTAATCTTTCAGTATCCTCTTTTCCAGGGACTCTCCCACACTGCACAGCTTCACACCTGGATCAAGTTCCCTTTGTAAATGTAGGATTACTGCTGTGACTGCTCTTAAGTTATTGCCAAGAAATGCTAAGCTTTGCTAACAGCAAGTAAACAAATATTGTAGTCATTACAACAGACATGCCCCCATAGATCCCGGTGGGTTTCTCCAGAGGCTTCTTTGGAAAACTTTTTGTTCAGGGCTTCTGAAGAAAAGCCAGCGAAAAAGAGTGCCAGGTTTACAAGCCACTGCTAGAACCAGTACAGGAGATGAGACCTCGTGGGTCTCTTTCAGTGCCAGAACACTGCAGGATCTTCTACAGAAGTTCTGGAGGAGAAGGGCCTGAACCACCTTCTGGGAAGGCTTCTGTCAGCCACAGAAGAGGAACTGGACATATTTTCCTCTGTGATCCCACCACAGGGACTAGTGTTTCAGTGGGTGACTGCCTGGACAAGAGAGCAAGCACTCCTGAAGCCACCATCTGTACACTGCATATGTTCAGGAACCTGAGCAGGTTTTTCAGGACAGCCAAATACAAAGCTGACTAATCTGAATGTTCAGCAAGGATCTCCAGGAGAAAGTTATGATTAGAGTAGCTGATTTTGGAGGAGAATCTTGCTGATGGCCAGTAAGCGTGACAGCCTATTGTAACCTGTTGGTGGGGGTCATGTGTAGCTTTGAGCTGATGCTTAATCTGCTGGTCAGTGTGTTCAGAGCGGTGTCTTCGCTGGAGGTTTATTGTTTTCTATCATGGCAGTACTAATATCACAAACCTTCTTGATTCTGTTTACATTTGTAGTCCTGTTTCTAAAGCTAGGATTCGGTCTCTCATCTCTATATTTACAGTGGAATTCAGTTGTGCAAACAGGCATTCAGCCAAGCTTTGAGGGAGCCACTCTCCTACCACAGCTTGGGCTGGTCTTGTTATGAAATCAGGTGCGCAAAATTAATTCAAGCTTGAACCTGAATGTCCTGGTACTCATTTTATTCCTGCTATGAGTACAAAGTTCTTAAAATTGCGCAGACACCTACAGATTTTCTGCCACAGTGGTGCCTCTACTTGGAGTCTGTCCCGTTTACATCACTGACCTTTATCCTTTTGGTCCATCTTAGGTGTTTTATGGACGATGTCCCATGCTTCTGATACTTGTCTTTACCATGTTGTCTGAGCACTTTAACCTGCTTACTTGTCTTGAATACTCTAGAAGCCATTAATATGGAAGGTTACTTCTCTAAAAATGCAGTTACTGAGCAGTGTCATTATACTTCATGGGCTGTGTCTGGCTAGAACGGGTTCTTCTACAGACTGTCTTCATGGAATAGGTGTATTGGCTTTCCCTGTTCAGATTCCTGCATTTTGGAGGGATGAGTGTCTTTCAAAGCCCTAAATAATTTGACCTTGAATGAGAAACAGAATTCAGGTACCATGCTTTTCATTCCTAGCTTCTGGAACTTAGTTTGCAGACTAGTGCTCTCTGTCTCCGGTCAGATGCTTAAGGTCTCCGCTCAGTTTAAACTCCTGCACAAGGGGTTCTGCACATGCTTCCTCCCATCACTGTCATGTTTTTTCCAGCACTTCTTTCTCTCTCATCCCCTTTGAACCAGGGGAAGGTTGAAGTGGCCCACAGTGTGAACCAGATAAGGGAGTGGATGTAGCCAGATGTTGTTTGTCTTTCTTTTCCGTTCTCCTGATTTGGTTTACCTCAGCACCACCCCAGCTCTTGGGCCCAAATGAAAGAGTAGGTAGAGATGGGTGGCTGGGGCAGGAAAAAGGCCTGTTGTCCTTTCAGCTGCAAGATGCACATCTTGATCATAGAACCACAGCAGAACTATTGCCTGTCCATGTTCTGGATAGAGTCTTATTTCTTCAGACCGAACTGTTAGTCTCTGCCTGCCATTTTCCTTGCCTTTTTTCTTCCTGTTCTTTGTCATTATTTTCACACAGAAAGCTTTTCTTGTTCCTTAGCTGGGTCTTTCTGCAAAGCCAGCTTCACTTTTGACAGTAGTGCATGGCTGAAACCAGTGATGTTTCAAGTTTAAGAAGAATGGAGTGTGGTGTTTGGAGGCTGTATATGAAAGGTGTTGACAAACTGCGAAGAGTCCAGTGCAGGGGCACTGAGGTGATAAGGGACTGGAGCAAGAAGAAACCAGGGGAACTGAGCTTGTTTAGTCTAGTGAGGAGGAAGAGGATGGGGTGGGGATGAAGCATCTAATAGCAGTCTTCCACCTGGGAAGATACTGTAGAGAGAACAGAGCCACACTCTTCTTGGAGGTGAACAGAGAAAGGAACAAAAGGCAATGGGCACAAGCAGCAACAGGGAAAACTCCATCTGGGCATAAGGAAAAAAATTCTTCACTAACAGAGTGGTGCAACTCTGAGGCTGTGCCTGGAGAGGTTATAGAGACTTGACTGGATGATGCCCTGAGCAACATGATGTAGTTTTGAGATTAGCCCTGCTTGAAACAGAAAGTTAAACTCTATGACTTCCAGATATGCCTTTCAGTTTAAATCTTTCCATAATTCTCTAGCATTGCCAAACAGATAGAATTTTCACAAATTGCAGTTATTTCTGATGGCAACTCTGAGCTGTAACAAGGTATTTAGCTCATAAAAGTCTCTCTTCAATCACCAAATTCCCTGCTAAAACCAGAAATCTTTTAATGGTGATGTTCCTCATGAAGGAGGGCTGGTGATGCTCATACATCCATAAAAAGATTGCTGGCAATATTTTTTGGCCAATATTTGATATTTTTGAAGTACCACCTCTTATTGTTTGGTTGTGGTTTTTTTTTTTAATGCAAGAAAGTACAAGGTTTCTGTAAGCATTCACTAGATTAATCATATAAACATTGAATGTATGTTAGGATGCATTATATAACAGATCCCCTAGTATTAAGTGGTATGTGTAAGTAGGTTTGCCTTTTTTTCACCTGGTAGTTCTTTATTTTATCAGAGACTTCCAATCACTTTGGCATCATTGCCAACTAAACATTCTGTATCCTATTTAATTTGTTTGATTACGATCCTGATATTTTAGGTGGAGGAAGTAGACTAAGGGGAGTGAAGAGTACCCAGTTGTTGCTTTTTTTTTCTTTGAGATTTGTATTGGTATCTACTTTTCCAGGATGACTCTTTACTATCTACTACAGCCCATTTACCTGACTTGTACAGGTACGGTGCAGGCTTGCTGAAAAAGAAAATACAGCTTCCCTTAACCCCTGTATGTTCACCCAGCGTATTTCCAGAACTTGGTACTCTTTTCTCCTCAATTCTTGTTTCCTCTGTGTTTCGCCTTGCTTTCTGTCTCATTTCTCTCTCTACCAATTTTTTCATGTTCATTTTCTATGGAAATGCTGAGGCCAGCAAAGACAATCTACAAAATATCAATGTAGTGAGTAATTTGACAGAGCGTGCATGTACACCCAACACAGTACACATATAATCTTTGTGCTATTTGGCTGTTAAATACTTTAAAAAATTTTCTTTCTCTGATTTCTCAGGTATAGAACATCTCCACATCTAAAGAGTTTTGTTCTAACAAATGGCATTTTGAATTCATCATTATTTTTCAGGCTTCTGACACTGTTGTTGAAAACAAGCATCAGTATTTTTCGGAGAGAAAATCAGAGCTGGTTTGAAGCTACTCATGTGTCCTTTAATGCAGAAGACCTGTTATCTGAAAGACTTTCATGTAGATGTTGGAAGTCAAGTGGGACATAAATTGTATTAAAATTCGATTTATTCTATCAGGCCTTTTTATGATATTTCACTCCACCAGATCATGCTGTTGGTCAGTACTTTAGTTAAAGACCAGTTCAATATTTAGTCTCTAGAACTTACATACTTAACATTGGTTTCATCCCATAGCTGCTTAGAGAGACTTTTCCTGAGTTCTCTAAAATCATATATTAATGTTGAACCAAATTTGAGCAAGCATATAGACATGTGGTCTCAAGACAGCCAGCCGCAGTAAAAAGAAATCGAATCAGGAGGCTTAAATCAGCAACAGTTTGAGAGTACCCCCCTGTCATGTCAGTCCATACATAGAAGGCCATAAATAGAAAACTTGCAAATTAAAATTTTTTACAAAAGTGAAGAGAGAAAGCCCACCAGCACACACGGAAGACTTCTGTCTTCAGATTCTTCTTCTTCGCTACTGGACAGCATCTCTGTAAGTAGTGCTTTCTTTTGTTGTATATGCTGTCATTATACAAACATAGAAGTGGCATTACAGTAGCGCTGTGCTAGTGCAGTCTGCATTTTGAAGCTTTGCAGTATTGACAGTGCTAGTTATTCATTACAGCTGAAATTAATTAATAAAAATCACCTGCAAATTCCACTTTCAAAACAGTGTACTTGTAAATACACCTGATGTTCACAGTGTTCTATGAAGAAAACTATTATCTGTTGCTTTTGTCAGTAATTATTTAATACACAGAGTATGAAAACAGTTATATAGGTGTTTGGAATCCTATTGATTTCTGTATAATCAAAGTAAAATATTTTATTTCTTTCCACAGAGAATGAGGTACTCTGAGATTCATAATAAGGAGCCAGTAAGGATCAAAATGATGTGTTATTCCCTTAAAAAGAGAGGGGAAAAAAAAAAAAAAAAGGCAGGTCATGAGAGTCAAGGTGAGCCAAAAAGTCTCTTTTTGCTCTGTTCCTTTGTGAGGCAGAAACAGATAATGTGAAGTGAGCCAAAATACAGCAGTATTTAATAAACTTGCTGCACTCCTCTTGCTGAAGGGGAGAGGAGTAAAATAACAGGTGTTCAGGAAGAGAAAAAATGAAAAATAGATGAATTCTTGAAAAGAGTTTGCTGGTCATTGCAGTCAGAGGCAGATTGTGGCATGAGTATTGAAATGACACCTAATACTCTAGATTTTGACATCACAACCAAGTGGCAAACTTGGGAGTTGTTTAAACTACTTTTTTTGTTTCCTTTCTCTACTGTTTCTGAAGAGCACAAGATTGGAAGACAGTTTAGCTAGTATTGCCTTCTCTGCCCAAATCTGCCAAGATTACCACTTTGAGCAGGGAATGTCTCTTACATCCCAGTTGTCTTACTTCTCAGTCCTGCTCAGTCTTTACAGCCCCATCAGGAACCTCTGTGTCAGGGGAGGACAAACCCAGTAAGTCTTCTCTCCCAGGTAGAAAACACCCTCTTTGAAGCAAAAAGCTACTCTCATAGCTTCCAGAACAGCAGTTAAATATAATGTAAACTTGACTGGCAAAAAAGATTCCCAGATAGTGCAAACTGGGTTGTATCCACACTGCTTATGCCAGGACCTGTTTGGAACATGCTGGGCCAGCCTTCTAACTGTTCCAAAATATCTTTTTTTTTTTTTTAAGTTAGCCTCCAGTTGTTCCATAGCTGGGTCAAGTACCAAATTCTGTCTGTAGACTCTGTTGTATTTAAATACTTAAAAAAACCCCAAAACAACCACCAGCATAACTTCTTTTCAATACTGATGGAATGAAAGTCATACCTACATTTTCCATGTTGAGTATTTTTCTTTTCTTTGCCATTTGTTCTACCAAATTAAGGAATGATACAGGCAAATGTGAGTTTTCATTTTGGGATTGGTAATTCTTTGGTATTGAATTACTTACTGAATTACAACCTACACTTGTGAAAGATAGGGGAACGTTTTTCAGCAGAATGCTCTTATTCCACTGAATGTCAGGCTGCTGAGCCAGCTGAAGCAGTCACGACTTACGCTCTCTGACTGCCCACTCTTGCCTCCACATCATTCAGTTTTGGTCTCTAAAAAATATTTTACATTTTTCCTGTGAATTTCTATAGGACTTTGTCCTCATAGTGCCATCTGTGCCATGTCAGATAAAGCACAGCTTGCAGCATTAATCAGGTCTGTAACATAGCAGAGACCTGGTTTGCACACTGCCTTTTGGTGTCAATAAGGTGAACTACCTGTCTTTCACAATGACAGGTAACATAATGCAGCTCTTTGTCCTTCTGCAGTCACTTGATCTCATGGAGATCAGTTTGCTAACGTGGCTGTGATACAGTTTCTGTTAAGACTACGTATTGCTCATTCTTCTTTCTCCAGTGAAGGTGTTTAAAGACACTCTTAAGAGTTTTCATGAAGTCCTTAAGATGCGTTATATTCGTTGCTACATTTATAATGATAATAGTTTTGAACAAAATGAAACCTATATTTCTTTTTACATGTATTTTCTTCCTTTCTAGATAGAAAAGCTGTTTTCCACATCTCATTTGAAGCAAACAAATGGAAGAGCAGTATCGCCACTTCTTCGGGGTCTTCAGAAGATTGAAAAGCTTTTCTTGAGCAGAGCATGTCATGGAGGTGAATGGAGGAGTACAGACAAATCATATGTTCTTCTGCTTAACAGTTCAGATCTACCAAGTCTGAAGATGCAAGAGCCAAGGCATAGCTTAGAGTAGCCCTAAAGCTTCTTTAAGTTGTGCTTGGAAAACACTTGTCTCTACATGGCTATTGGAGAGGAATGGGTCATTTTAGTGTACTTAAAGCATGTTTAGTTCACACCATCTTTTCTGTAATTACCCTAGGCATGCTGTTGTCAAAACCAGTGATCTGACTTCTTCAGTATCATTCTTTAATAAAATTTCAAAATTTAACCTTTATATGTCTGTTTAATTATGTCTGAGTAGACTGCAGTACATAGAAGTGTTAACATGATGATACAGTTCATAAAGTTTAAAACTAATAGTTTAAAACCAATATGACAAAGATTGGAGACTCACAATCAGATATACAATATTATTTGTTCTTCTGTTGTCGTAGAAGCTCTGTCCTGGATTTACACTCCACTGTCCTAGGTGCTCTACAGAGTCTACCTACACTCATTACAGCTATATATACAGCTACTGTGTTCAGGGGTAAATGCTGATGGTAATATCACAACATTGCCATAATAGTATCCCTGTGACCTATTACTGTAGAGGTATTTAAACCAGTGTTTTCGCTGACCTACAGCAATTGTATACCCTATTATGCAATGAGTTACCTAACCAAATAAGAAAAGTTTTGATATGGATTTCATCATTAAAATGGATGAAAATGTGCAAGAAGGCATGTGCTAGCAGTTTCACAAAGAAAAACCTTTCTCAAGATGCCCATTACCTGATTTAACAGTTTGGGGGTTTTTTTAGCTGAAGATGAAAATCAAAAAAGCATGGGTGATGGAGTATGTAACTAGAAGGAAGATCATACATAAATCAGTTTCTGTGTGTGACTACAGTGTTCTCTGTGTTGTTGCAATAAAACCATGTGTTTCTTATTTCTGCAGGGAAAGCTAGTATGTTATAAACAGTTTGAGAGTGCTTAACCGGTTTTGATGTGATTATATTGCAATTTATCTTAAGTAAGTTAGGTCAGCTGGGAGTCCGTCAGCTAACAGGAGGTTTATTGAACAGAAATTTAGGTTACTTACACTTTCTAGTTGAATTGAATTTTCTTAAGTTTCAAGTTGTGTGTATTCTGTGTCTGATGTGTGCATGGGGAGTGTAGAGCTGTTAAACAATGTAAGATAAGCAGTGTATTCACCTGGTTTGACATCATGATAATGGACAATGCTTTTATATGGTTATAGGTGTGTCTCCAATTATAACTCCTCTGGTGATAACATTGTTTTGGTGAGGACAACACATCAGTGACTTTAAAGCTGAATTGACTGTTTCTTTATGTTTTAGTGTAGCAGGTCAAACTATTTCACTCCATGAATCAACTTACAAAACTACCCCAGGGTTTTACAGGTCATCCTCTCTCTGGTGCTTATTGGTGGACTTCTGGGTATGTTCTGAGAATCGTGAAGGAAAAAGCTCAGGCAGGTCTCTGACCAGACCTGCTTATTTTTGTACAGATAGTGCAAATGAGCAAAAATGGTTGGATTTCTCTTGGGATCTTTCCCTGCAAATACAAAGCAAGGGTGGTCAGTTCCTTCACGATACTGTCTTACCCACATGGCTGGTATACACTGAATATAAGTTTTACTTGGTCTTGGTCTTGGGGAGGAGGGTTGAACAGGAAATTAAGGAGCTTTATCCAATTGCCTGACCTTGTTTCCGTATGAGTTGCAAAGTATCAAGCTAGGTTATTGGTTCTTCCTTCTGAATCTTGATCCAAGAAGATGGACATTATTGAGTGCTGTTCAGACAAGAACTGTGGAGAACATGAAGGTCAGAGGCCTTACTGCATTTTCAAGAACTAACAGAAGCAATGTGAGAGTTACAGGCTCCATTCAAGACTCCTGCAGATCAGCTGAGTGGACACTTTCCAAACGGCAGCTAAACAGCAGTGGGTAACAGTACACAAAGAGCCATCACAGTTCTAAACTAAGGGCTACGGGATGAGTTAAGTACGCTGTCAGACTATAGTTTTATGCCTTGATATTTTCTTTTCAGAGCAAATCCTAGCCCAGCCTTTGAAATGAAAATGAATAATGTGTTTTCTTCCATGCTATGAAGCTCTCTACCTTTTACAAAAAT